GGAGTTTCCTTGCAGTTCAATTCAGATTCAATTCATTGACATGAAAATCTCAATTTACCTCCCAATAAAACAAGCATCTCTGTCGAATAAGTGAAAACAATCCAAGTCAAGCATAAACAATTGATTAGGTACACTTGGCACAGTTGAACTTTGCTGTGGGTGAAAGGAAACTCATGTGTTACGAGCACAGCCATATTTATGTTTTAAGCAGAAGTGTTTAAGTGTCTCCTGTGGGTTGGGTAAACAGCAATATACTTAAGTTTGCTGATTTTATATTTTGTTACTGTGTACAGTTCAATTCTTCAACTCCCCACTGTAAGTGACATAAAGATAGTAATATGGTACAGAGCAATCACTAGATGCAATTTATACCTGAACCAGATCAGCATCATTTCCCTCCCTTGGCTGACTGTGTCAGAGTTGCAGGGGGGGATTAGCGTCTCTCAGTTCTCAAACCATGGTGACTCCAGGCCTCTTTGAAGGTCTGAAGATGCTGCTGAAGCTGTGGGACATAGATCCACCGGAGAGCGAAGAGATCAATTTTGTCATCAGGGGTTCAGCATCCCTTCTGATTCCAGTTGGAGAAAGAGTGCATGGAATAAATCTGTGACATTCCCAGTGACGTCTCTCCACAGTCCTTCAATCCTGTTGATTCAGCCCAAATCCCAACAGGTGAGCAGGATAACAAGATAGCAGTGTGTAGTAACAATCAGCAGCAAAATGACTATGAGGTTATAGATATGTTTTTACAAGTCTCCTATAACACAACAGCGTTTGGCGCCACTATGCTGACATACTGTTGACTGTTCACACTGCGTCCCGTGGTATGTGAGTTTCGGTCCGGCCCTCTATTGCTCACCATGAAGTGGGCCACAGCAACATTTTCTCATTTGTCACACAACCTCATTGATGTCTGTGTTGGTCAGCGCACACATAGTACCAACACTCTCCATTATGTCCTCTACCGTCCTCAAAACATGTTCTCCGTCATATTGTTCTTGTTCTGGAACTTCAGCAAGTCCTAAAAGTTCTCCTGTCAGATTTCCGGCAGCCATGTTTCTCCTCATCAGGATTCCTCCTGTGCCTGCGCACAACGACATTCTCACTGCACACATTTTTCTGTGCGTATTTCCTTTGTTTTTAAAGTGACATTATAAAAAATAAATGAAAATAAATAAATACATTTTAAAAAATAATATAGAATTATTATTTCTATTATTTGATGTATTTGTCTTTAGATTTCTACTTTTATTAGCTTTTTCTTTTATGGATTCATGTTTGATTCATATTGCTTTATATTGCCACATTATTTATTTTTTACTTCATTTATTCTTCTTTTATTTCCACCTTTATTTTGTTATTTGTTTACTGATTTATTTTTGTAACTTGGCACTCTCACTACTCCATAGATTAAGTATTCTTTAAATGGTTATTTGTTTTGTTAAATTATAGACAATAACTAGTAAAATCATGATAAAAAGTTAATTAATTTACATTTCAACTGTGGGCAAAGAAAGCTGTCCAAATTGTTATATATATATAAATCAGTTTTTTGTTTTTTGTTTAAAATTGTGTGAATGTCAATTTGTTCTTGTACAATGTGTGAACATAAAACTGCACACTTTTTGCAATTTTTAAATCAGCAAAAAATATAATAATTTCCAAGGTATTTGTTGTTATGTTACCATTTTTGAATATTACAGTATCCCCGTTTTTCATGTATTTTTTCTGGTATCCCTGCTGCTAGATTTAATTAAATTTTTTAGTGTATTTGTTTTTTACAGTGTAGATTTGAAAGCTTCAATATAAATGTGTTGTATTTATATTTCATATTTGTATTTTTTGGTGTCCTTTATCTGTTTTGGTTCTTGAACGTTACAGTATTCCACTGCACTTTTAATGTATTGTTTTAGCCACCATTGCTGCCTGATTTAATTTTTTTTTTTTTACAGTGTAGACCTTAAAGCATCAATATCAATGCACATCATGTATTTTTTTTGTATTTGTATTCTTTGGCATCTTTCTTTAACCTGGTTTTTGAACGTGACGGTATCCCCCCGATTATTAAATGTATTTTTTCTGATATCCCTGTTGCCTTTTTACAGTGTAGATTTGAAAGCATCAGTATGAATGCAAAATGTATATTTTGTGTTTGTATTCTTTGGTATCTGTGTATTTATATTTTTCTTCTTCCTACACTGTGGGACTGTGAGAAACAGCTTTCTCTCTACATGTAGTGCACATGTAGAGACACTGACTTTAAAGCTCATGAGCTTGTGTGAGGCCTCAGAAAGAAACCGTCAGTCTAGTTTAAAAAATCACCTCCTCAGATGACTTCCACAGTGCTAATGCCTCTCAGCCTCCTGCCCTGTTTCTTTCCTCAAGCCGTCCTGATCAATTAGCCTCCTTCTCGCCGTCGGTTTGTCTGCAGGGCCCCTCCTCTCCGGTTTTCCTGTCAACTCCGTCAAACGGCGGCGTGCTGTGCAGGCAGAGTGCCCTAAACCCCTGAAACCATCGCGCCGCAAACACTCTCTCAGCCTGCAAAAGGAAGTGGAGAGCCTGCCAAAGATAAAGTGGAGGACCACAAACAAATGGAGTAACTGAGCTCATTAATGTGGCAGCGTTGGTGGGTCAGCATCCTGCCGAGGCCCGATCAGCTTTCATTACATCATCCACCCGCACAAGGCCCAGAGTCATTGATAAATCTGACGTACGCGAAAACAGCCACAGTCATGATGGGGAGGAGCACGGAGTCTGTTTCTTTGGGAAAAGTTCCAGTGACACGGTGGAAAAATACTGATTTTAAAGGTTTACTCAAGTAAAACGGAATAAATTTTTGTTGTTTTTTTACCTTTATCCAGATAAAAGACCCACTGAGATCGAAAACCTCTTTCTCAAGGGTGACCTGGCCAAGAAAGGCAGCAGCACACATCCACAAATAAACACAACAAAACAATCACAAAATAAACATTAAAAAATGGAACGTGTAGACAGCAAGCAGATAAAGTGCAGGAGTGACGACTTCAGTTACAATTTAAAACACAGGCACTGCTGAATGGGATTCTGTTGTTGATCCTTTAGGAAAGAACAAAAGGATTCAAGGGAGATGAGTTCCAACATTTTTAGCTCAGACTGGAGGGTATTCCAAGCAGAGGGGGCAGAGAAACTAAAAGCTTTTTTACCAATTCAGTCCGAACACGAGGAGCAGCCAGGCGCAGAATTTCATTTGACCGTAAGGCATAACGGCATTTAATTCTCTGAAGAGAACAGCCTAAATATTAACAATAACAATTATTATTGTTACATAGTTATTAATTACAGATAACTACCAAGGTTTACAAAATTTATATATATATATATACATATAAAAGATGAAACCACATTCACACCTAGCCACAAAAGACCCTAACGAACCCCATTGTGGCAGGGGGAGCACTAACGACTCACATAGCGAGGGGGAGGAGCAACAAACCCCCAAATGAAACTCAGGTGTTAATGACTCCTTAAGGATATAAGTATCTGGAACTCCCAACTAGTCAGTCAGAACTGATGTAGCCTCTTAGATGAGAGGTGGAACGTCTTCAAGGAACTCAAACAGGTCCAGTTGCTTCGATTAATCCACAAGAACAAACATGACCTGGATGACTGAGAATCTTCACATTATTTATTTCATTATGGCCACAATGTGAACCAAGTGTCATAATTCACACTTGAATAAAAGTCAATGTTTCATTTGGCTTCAACTGTCAACTTTAGCATCCAGCTAAAATTACAGCCGAAGCTAAAGAAGCTCAGAGAGAGAAAAGGCTGAAGTGGTACCCAATGAACAAAACCCAAGTCTTATATTTAACATGTTTTTACTGAGGATTCAAGTTTGAAGTCAACATTTTCTTCTAAACTTGAGTCAGCTGGCAGCGAACAACCAGCACATCATGGGACAGTGTTGACATAATTTACCACCACTCTCAAATCCAATCATTTTGGTTTGTTGTGTGTGAAAATTATTACAGGCTCTCAGGTTGTGATCTTTAAGTCATGGTAATGTGCTCAGTCGCGCCTCTGACGAGGGGACAGGGATTTGATTGGCCACCACCAATCTCATGGGTCATTCACTCAAACTCTGACGTCCAAGTTTCAGTAAATGTAACAGCAGTGTTCACTTTGCTCTTTGATTTCACAACTTTACTCACTGAAATGATAGCAAAAATAACCAATGCCGTGAGGAGTGCGGACAAATCAGTGTAATCTGGGTCATCACGTTGTTAACAGGAGCTGCAGGTGACTTTGCTGCCTCCAGTTGTTTAAGACTATTTTCTCCAAGTTTCTTAAATACCTGCAGCATCAGAGTCCATCTGAACACCTGACACAACAGCAGTAACTTTATTAATTACTGATAATTATAAAATATCCCCGACATGGAGGATCAAACAGAAACAAACAGCAGGTAACATTCAGTATTTTTCTTCACCTCAGACAGGTGAGCTGTCAAAAAGAGGTGCAGTTTGTGAATTAAATCCTGAGCTCCTTCACAGCTGGATAATAACAGTTTGATTTGTTTACTGAAACCTAAACACTTTTCTGTGATATCATGTTTTTTTATTTGAGCGATTTCACATAAAGATTTTTGCAAAAGTGGCATTAGTGCACAGATGGATGCGTTGATAGAACTTGATCTCTCTGATCAAACTGCCTAAACAGGGCAACTGGTAACCCGGTAACAATGAAAACACATTTTATTGTCCCATAAGCTGCTATAGTTGGATTAATTCTCACCACAGACTGTCAGCATTTTTAATGTTGGAATCATAAATTAACTACTGGTTTTTGTGCGCTGTTCAAACATTCTTGAATGGCCACAAATGACCACCATGATTAAAAATTTCTGAAGGAGCCACTAAACAAACCATTGGTGTTAAATAAGGAGAAATATGTTGGGAGGTATTCTGACATGGACACTGATTTTAGCAAGAAAAGAGTATTATGAAAGGAAGACGGAGATGTTTCTAGTAAGTATGAAATGCATTTATTTGTTTGGATGCTTTATGATCATGATGAAATCCTGTCATCAGTTAAAAAAACAAAAAAAACAATGTAATGTTACTTAGGAGTCCAAAATAGTACAATAAATCCTTAATATTATACTTTAGGTTTAACACAATTAATGTAATTCCACAATAATATAATAAATGTGATTCATGCCCTTGATCTCCACCTCAGCGGTTGTTTTTGCAGTGAAGCTGATCAGAGTTTAGCCTGGATTTCTCTTGCAGATCATGTTGAAGCTGATAGACAGTGGACCTACTTTTCCACACAGACATGCAGTGATTTCAGCTGTCTGAACATTTGAAAATATTTAACTGATCTTCAGTTAAGAACTTCAAAAAGCTGGTAAAGATTTCTCCCATCGAGGGTTTTGCTGCAGTTGTTGAACTTCAAATCAACGCAGCATAACTGATGTGAGTTAGATTTATCTTCCTGCCTTCATCCAAGGAGTCACAACTTTCCCTTGTTGGCTGGAAGTTTGCAAAGATGTTTGCTTTACAGTCCACCACGCCGCGTCACGCCTGGTTCACGCCACGTCTGGTTCCCTTCAGCCCGAGTTTAGAACATAACTTGGCATCTGAAGTGCTTCTGCTTGGTGGCGTTGTGGCTCATGCCCATCTTCAGCATCCACTTGGACTTCATCATCTGTACGTACTGCATGTCTTTCTGTTTCTGGTGGAAGGCGCCGCTGCCTGAGAGACACAAAGAGCGGGGAGGGGCAACATGCAAGGACACACAGCGTCATAATGTTGTTCAGGAGCAGGTTTCTCACAGTTAGAATGGGAATAATGGGATGTAAACACAAGGGGGAGCTCTTTCCAAACCACTCACACCACACCAGGAACACAAATTTAGACTGGGGATGCACGATATATCTGGGACCACATCGGTCCCAGACATATCGTCAAATATGTTGTGCTTTTGTAACGTAATAAAGAAGACTGTGTGGTCTAATTTGGTATGGACTTCTTTTGATAGGTTTTCATGTTCTCGCAGTGCTAACTTCTGCTCACTTTTCGGTGTGAACAAAAATTGAATATTGACATCGGTAATATCGCTTATCGGTGATATCAGAAATTTTCATATCGGATATCGGTATCGGCCAGAAATTTTAATATCGTGCATCACTAATTTAGACCAATGGAAGGTAGAAAGTGATAATAAAAGGAAATCACAGAAACTGCACATCTTTTCAGAGATAGTTCACATTTCAAACTTTACGATTAACACTAGGTCAAAGAGCCACAACGCTGCAATAAAGTCGAGAAGCCTACAATGTTTATGGACGGATAAGAAATGCAGTGCATCCAAACACAAGGAGTCACGTGTGCCAAAATGTCAAAGTCCACTTTTTGTGTCTTTTATAGGATTTCTGGTATCATAACTTTTGTATATGGTATAAAATGGGTCCACAGTGAGTAAAAATGTGACGGGAGCAAAAAAACACCCAGAAACTGCTCAGAGTTCAGAGAGTTAAACATTACCAATCAGGGATATTGATGATAAATCGATGACATCGTCCACACTTGCCTGAACCAAGCTCCACGTTTAGTTGTCAGAATTAACATTTAACATGAATTGACCTTATTGGATCATATGTTGTTGCAGAATACACAAAATATATTGATAAAATATTTATATGATATTCATTTTGTCATTTTCAGAACTTCACAATGACCTGAAATCTACACTTAGGAATTCCAGATTTTCCACGATACACAAGAAATCCCTGTGGATTTGTGGATTATGAGAAATATAACAATGCCATACTGGCAACAAAAGAAAACGTGAAAGAAGCAGCTGGTAGAACAAAGAAACAAAAACAACTGTGGTATTATTACCAAAAAAAAACATCTCAAACTGCTTAAAAAATGCAATCTTGAAAAATACAGAACTTAATAAAGGGCAGAACTGAAATCCTCAAACATACAGCAAAGAAAACAACATAACTGAGAACTTCAGGGGCCAAAATGTGACATTAACTATGGAAGTCAGATTTAAAAGTAATAAGAGATTCAGAAATCCTTTCCACACACTCTTAAGTAAACACAATAAATCAAACTGGGACGGATCAGCACTCCTGGGTCATAATCTGATGAACCGAGGAACCACAGCTCTGCAGCAAAGTATTAAAACTCAAGATTTCTATTTTTAAAAAAATATATAAAAGGTTTCCACTGCCTTTTTTTCAGGGGCTGGTGAAAACTAAAGTTTTCATGCTAAAGACACACAGTTAAGTCAGTTTTACATGGCAGCTATTATTTATTTATCATAATGCTCTGAACTAACAGATGATGGTGTTAAAAAATATATACAATGCTAAAATGTTGCATTTCAGTCAATATGAGTCATTATTGATGATTTTTGATTGCCAATCTTTAAAAAAAGACCATAGGAGAAAGTTTTTCTTTAAATTTAACCACGCTTACTTTGAATTTAAAGAGTTTTAAAGTTAACAAAGCAATGATAATCACGCAAGTAAAATAAGTTAAACAAGCTTCAAGGAATAATCTCACCTTGATAAACACTAAATAACAAATTAAAAACCAGAGGCCCATTGTTTTATCGCGCAGGCCGAGCCTGATACCCAGAGAACCTCAGAATAGAGACTGAGAGGACAAATTAGAATTTAGAAGAGGACAGAGGACATTTTCACAGCCACACAGTTATGGTTCTGTGTGTGCAGTGACTTGACATGGCATTTATTTTTCTACAATTAACTACAATTAATAATTAATTGATATTTAACTGTCACAAAGTTAACTAAAGTTACTGCGTCTGCCAACCAGTTAAGTTAAAGGTTGTTTCTGAGTTATGGTGTCAAAAAAATGGTGAAAACACTATTATGTCAAAGTGAAGTGGACCTTGATATGAGGAATTTTGTTAGAATTAACGTATGAATTCTTGAGCAAAATCTGTCACTAACAGCAAATACATGTCTGTGGTGTTGCAAAAAATTAAGTAAAGGCCTGATTTTGAAACCTCCAGAGAAACTGTTCCGATGTTCTGGAGTCTTTTGTGAATCTTACCTCCGTCTCCTCCCCAGCCCAGAGCTTTGTACTGCCGGAGGACTCTGCCAACAGCGTTCCTGTTGTGGGTCAGAACTACGGCTCGCTGGGCTCCGAACCGCTGTTTGTAGTATCTCATGAGGGAGCGATGGCCGATCTTCGCACCTAAAGAAGCACACAGCAAGGACTCTGTTACAACACTATCACACAATCCAGCAGAAAGATACGGTGAAGTTGGTTAAGGATGGATTAAGTTTCCTTTATTGCCATTTAAAGATAAACTTTTTTGTGATCCCTCATCTGGGAAAGTCACATTGTGTTTATTTTCAACATGAACATAAAATAACATAAAAACCATAAACACCAAAGCTGATTAGGAAAGGGCCGTGACGCAACAGGAAGTAAATCCAAACGAAATGCTCTCCTCACTACTTCTTAGCATCAGGTAGTTTGTTAATCCTTTAATTCAAACGTAACACAAAACAACACAAAACTATTCAAAACCTCATTTTACAAACAAATAATTTTGTATGATATGTAATATTTTAAATTGTATGAGTGGGTAGCACACGTGGAGTTCAGGGTTATATCTACAAGGCAGAATTTTAGTTAAATACATTTTTATTTTTCCAACTGATTGTTTCTTTAGTTAATAAAATATTAGACAAAAGTCAAACAAGTAAAGATACGAGAAGCTGTAATAAAGATTTTCTGATATATTCTGACTAAACACCACAAAATATTTAGAACTAACTGAAATAGAAAAGCAGCTCAGTAGGTACCAGAGAACGTTTGATATCGTTGCTCAATGACTGATGCATTTTGTTAACTCATTAGTTTTAGTCTTTAAACAAATCATGTTGAACACATCTTCCTCTAAAAACGCTGCAGTGAAGCACTGTAGAAGTTGTATTTTAAAATTACAAACTGCACTTCAGTTTGACAGTCAGAATGACAAATTGATGAGTTAAACATTTAAATTATTAAAAATATATTTACAGAAAAGGTGGATGACGAAGTGTTGTTGTGTTGTGGGGTTTAGCTAGTAGCAGGTCACCATGACAGACTTCTGTAGCAGTTAATGAGCCACAGTCAGAGTTCATTGGTAGAAAAGTTTTAGGGTTTGCAGGGACAGCTGAACTAATCAAGCCACATTTCTGACCAAGATGGACGACAATTATCGCACAAATACTATATGTGTATCAAGTTTTATTACTTGAACAAAAAAAAAAAAATTCTAATCACTATAGTTGGACAGCAAATTTATCGATATACTGCCAAAAGTGAGTCGTGTTGTGCGTCTTTCCAACCTTTCAAATATCCGTTTGAGATCTCATGACCACCAAGGCCACAGCCTATGACTGCATCGTTATTTTACCTGATAATGATGCTAATTACACAATTTGCTCAACATGCAACTCATAGAAGCCAAGTGAAATTGCAGAGCAGAAAGCAGTACTTTCTGTGAAATAAATCTTTAAAATCATAACTTAATAGTTAAAAAGCACAATTTGGATGGAATTAAACTTTAAATGTTTTATGTGGATGGATTTTGGGTGCACTTTAGTCAATGTTGTCAAAATCAAAGGTCCTAAATGTGCGCTCCTGAAACTGCAGCGTCCTGTGCTGCAGATAAAAAAGTGGATTTTTTTGGCTAATATTATGTGTTCTTGGTTAAAATGACTTTATTGGCACATAGAAAAACACCAACTGTGCTTCATTCTTTTTAACAACTGATTGACTCTAAAAAACAAAAACATACATAAAATCTGCATCCCTGGTTTAAATTAAAACCAGTCCATTGCCAGATTCAGAATTCTTATTAAACATTTCACATACTTTTGCGATTGTGCGCTTTTAAGGCTTGCACAGGAGCTCTTGTTTTAGAAACCGATCTCGAGCAAAGTCACCTGAAGGAAGCGTCAGCTCCAGCGTGTCATCGTCGTATTCCAGGTTCTTGTCGTCAGGCAGCTCGTCATCGTCCATTTCAGCGTCTTCTCCGTCCTTCCTGTCAGGGTAGCTGCTCCTGTTGGAAAGAAACAAAACCACTTCCAGTCTATCTGTGATCCATACACATTATTAAACATCTAAACAGGGTTATTAATTTACCTGAAGTCATAGAAGTCTGCAAACTCCAGAGCAGTGTCGCCTTCTGTGAAGAGTTTACAGTGGCTTTTGTCTGTCATGTGACTCTGAACTGCTTCTGTCGAGTAAAACGAACGTCCCTTCTCGTTACACCATAAACACACATTCCCGGCACCAACTTTTTCCCCTGTAACAGAAGAAAAAAACACTATTAGAGTTTACTAGAGAGCAAAAAAAGAAAAAAAAAAAACACTCTTAATATGCAACAACAAAAGCATAAATTAGCATCTTTTTCATGCGGGATTCATTCACAGACACTGATTTTATTCCAAATGGCAAAATTCTGCATCATAGCTCAAGGACAGTTGGGAAGTTGAAAACACAACAATAATGATTTTTTCTGTTTTTACAGTTTCTGACTCCGACAAATGATTCATTTTAAGCATTATAATTTTGGCACTATTGAAACAACAGCTGACAGATTTTGGGGTACACAGAGCTTAAAATTACCCGACTACAGAACTCCCCGATTGTGTGGATATTGAATATTTTTACATGTAGATAACAACCAAAAGCGTTAAAACATGAGTGCTACAGGTAAAACACAAGCAGTTGATTTTGGTACAGCCTTAAATTAAACACAGAGTCACAGCTGTTTTCTCACTTCACTAGTTGCTGCATTATTTCCTTCAACACTCCTCTCATTTGACTACTGCTAATGTCCTGATATAAGTGCAATGTTAAGAAAGTGTTCAGTCTGAGGTGTTGATGCTTCACACAGCAAAGCGACTGGAGTTTAGACTTTACATTTACAACTCTAACTCACCGAGGTACCGGACAAGACCCTTCAGGTTGACAAGGAACTCCACGTCAGGGATAAAGAAGCTGTGGACTTTGGTCATGTGGGCGACGTTCTTCATGAGCGACTTGGAGTGGTGGGAGCAGAATAGGCAGTCGGTGACGGGGATGGAGCCCGGCAGAGCAGCAGGGTTTAGGTCAGACGAAGCCGCCGAGTCACCCTCCTCCTGATCCATCGTCTCCTCTTCATCAACGTCCTCCTCCATCTCATCATCATCATCATCATCTTCCTCCTCATCAACGTCCTCCCACTCTTCTGGAAGAGTTCAATGGGGGAAAAAAACTAATGAAAAGGTGCAACTCAAACTGCAATTACATGACATTCTGTAGATTTATCTCACTTCGGACTTACAATTTAGTTTTCAAGTGTAGATGCCTTTAACTTAAACAGACACTTGCTATCATGACACTCTGAAATCATCTTGTTTTCTTCAAAATATTCAGTTTAAATTAATGATCCAAGCAACTAAAACTAAAACTATTAAACAGAGTTGACTCCCACCAAGTACAGTGGTTTCATTTCAACTTCTTACCTTCTTCAGCTGTGGCTCCCTCGTCCTTCTCTCGTCTCTTAGCTTGCTCCTCCAGCCACATCATCCTGGGTGGTTTCTCCGGCTTCTCCATCTTTGGCTTCGTGGCTCCTTGTTGCACCTCCTGCTTGGCCGGGCTCGACCTCTGCTGGTCTTTCAGCGCCTGCTGCAGGGCCTCGTTCCGAGCGTCGTGGTCTACCTTCTCGTCCCCGAGGCCCTTCTCCAGGTTCTTCTCATTCATCTTCTCCACCTTTCTCTGTGCGGCAAGCAGGGCCTGCTTCTCAGCCTGTTGGTGTTTGTGGGACTGCAGGTGGTTCTGGTGAGCGTTGGCGCTGGAGAACCTCTTGTTGCAGATGGAGCAGCCCTCGGTGGCCGCTGCATCGCTCAGCTGCTGTTCAGCTGCGGCCCTCTGCGCCAGAACGCGCTCCTGGAAGTTTTCGGCAGTGACGGGCGGCATGTCGGCCACCTTGCGCTTCAAGTTGTATCGGTGCCAGTCGGTTTTGTAATGGGCTCGCTGCACCTCGCCGTCTGCGAAGGCCACTCGGCAGCTGATGCAAGTGTAGGCTGCCATGGGGACCTAAAGAGTCAAGTCAAGTTTATTTATATTATATAGCAAATAATCTTAATCTGTAAACGCTACTATGAATATCTTCCTTTACTTACAATTGTCTGTCAGAATAACAACAGTTATAAAACCCATATAACCATATTTGTGTTAAAAGACTTATTGTAAGCCCTGTGAGGAGGAAAAAAAACCCTCCACAGACCATTATTTAGGTTCACATTATCGGATAAATAGCAAATTTGCATTAACTATGACATGCCCTTCCAGTTTTAATGTTATGGCTCTCATCTTTCTTTAGTTGTCTAATTTAATCATCATTATTATTATTCTTTCCTATTTTCTTAGTTACTGTTATACTATGTCAATTAATTTGTGAACTATGTCAATATGTTATTTCTATTTAACTGTCAATCTCCTGTTTTTTCTCATCCAATCATTTTAGGGCTTATTAAGTCGGTAAACCTACTTTTACCATCCAGTGTTTTGTCATTTGCTTAAAAACACTTTGAAATGCATTTGATTTGTCTGAAGTATGTATATGCTATGGCTGAACAATTGATTGACCTCTAATCAAAATCGCTAAGACATACATTCCAGGGTTTCTTATTTTCTTGTGAATTTATTAAACGTATTTACTAATTTAATTGCATAATGTGTGACACTAGGAAGCTACTCCTGAATTACTTGTTTCAATGTTAGAGACAGTTTGTACAAAGGTCCTATTTTCCTATTCCAATTATTTTGTTGGTATCATTATTTTCTGCATTTCACTGAACAGTCACTGCTTTTGTGCCGTTTTCTCTCATACGTCGTCTTATAATATAACAATTACATGATTGACGCAGTTTACCTCTTTACCTTCTCCATGTTGCACTAGACTGTATGACAGGTAATAGTTTGATGGTGTCGCAGTACTGTTAAAAAAATCGCACTTATTGTTGATATTTTCCCCAAATAGTATAGAAATTCTACTTTAAATTCAGCAAAGCTAGCTCCGCGGTGGCTAACTCTCGAGTGGACTCACCAAGTGACAAAAACAGCTAAAAACGTACGACTTAAAGTGCCGGTTTCAGATAAGCTACGCTAGCATCAGCTAGCAACATGCTAACCTCGCATCACGCAGTTCGGTGTAAACACAAGCTAACAGCAGCTGAAACCTTCAAGTTGATGACCGTAACCAGAACGACAGCGACACGTTACTACCGGCGGCTCCAGTAAAGCTTTTACTGACCTTTTCAGTGAACTGGCTCCTGAGAATAAAGAGTTTTTAGAGTGTCGGTTTATGTAAGTGAACGTCTGTCTGCCTGATGGAAGCAGCATGAGGGAAACGCTGAACTCTGAACGGAGTCTTCTTCTTCGTCGTGTTGTTTGACGGTGCGACGAAGCACTTCCGCTTCTACTGCTTCGGAGTAAAACTAAAACCTACACCGTAATACAGTCATCCTCAAATTTATTCATACCCTTCCATTAAGGAACAGGCTAAATTCACAAGAGTGACTCAAATAACTAGAAACTGATAAAATAATAATAAATAAAAATTTGCTAAATTATAATTTAGTGAAATAAGACATTGCTTTTGAATTGTAGTTAAACAGAAAAATTTACAAAAAAAACAAACAAACCTGTCCTGGACAAATTAGAGCACTTTGCTGATGAGCAGTGGGCCAAAATCAGAATACCTGTCAACAGGTGCAGAAATCTGATTGAGAGTTACAGAAAACACTTGATTGCAGTGATTACCTTAAATGGTTGTTCAACAAAATATTAGTTTCAGGTCCCATCATGCTTGTTTGCTTGTTTTTTGTTTGTTTGTTTGATTTTTTTAATATTTCTGTTGAACCACAATTAAAAAGCAATGGCATGATTTTCATTAATTTTTTTATTTATTATTACTTTTGTCAATTTCAACTTATTTCACGGTTTGGTTCATAGCGAACTTGTATTTTCTTACTATTTTCTTGTTATTGGGAGATATATGTAATATGCCAACCTTTAATTTGTTTTTATGTTCTTAACAACCCATACCATAATTTAATCTAATAAGTGTGAACTAGTCTCGAAATCTCTCTCTCTCTCTCTTTTTTTTTTTTTACCAGCCACTCTTTAAGCACTTGATTTGATTTCTTAAAATAAAATAAAATCTCAGTATATAATACATTAATCAATTGTAATTATTATTATAATTACAATAGAAGTTAATTTTTAAAAAATAGCCAAATATCAGCAATATAATAATAAAAGCAGTCCACAGTCAGAGGAGGCAGATGATGTGAGGAAGAAGAGAGACGCTCAGGTATATATAAAGGCTTAAATAAATAAGACATAGACCTCAGAAAACATTCATTTAGATTCATATTTATCAACTTGAACACTGGGTATAAATAGTTTAACCAATTTTTTTGAGTCAAGAATTATTGATACACAAGTAAAATCTTGATTCATGGTTTGATTAATGGTGATTTATTATTATTATTATTTTTACCAATAGGTTTCTGGAAACAACATAAACATGCGACAAAACATGGTAAAACATTTTGCTTAAGATGCTTGTGATATATTTCTAAGTATTTATATGTTGTATATATATATATATTGCTGTTCAACCAATCCTCCCAGTGTCTGTTTGTGTTGCATCTCTTTGTGGTTGTTTTATGCAACGTTCCCTTCATCACTCTGGTCTGCAGTTCTTCCACAGATTCTTGGTGGGCGTAGATCTGGATTCCAACATCTTCGTATGGTTTTCCGTTCAGCACTTTGGCTGTTTCACATCTTTGTCTTGTTGGAAGCTCCAATGCTGCTCAAGGTCCAGTTTTTCTTCAGACTTCCTGATGTTTTGCTCCACATCTTACTGTGCTCCTCTTTTCTCGTGATGTCGTTTACTTTGACCAGGTTGCCTCATCAGCTTCAAAACTCTCTCAACGCATCACATTCGCTCCACCTGCTTGACTGTGGAGATGTTGTTCTTGGAGTTCATTGCTTCTCTTTTCTTTGTGTTCAAACATTTTCATCTGTGGTAACTTAAAATTGTAAACCCTTGTTCTGTGTGCAGTGTAGGGGTAACACTGGTGGAGACAAAATCAGCCAAATAAGTTTAAAAATCCTAAATCAGACTTATTTAAATGATTTCTGTCTGTTTGAGTTAACAGAACTCAGCAGTTGTTGCAGCAGCAAAGCAACTACTAACCCAAACACCAGCATACAGTGGCTGAGTGAATGTGGTCTGGACTCTGTGGAGGAGAGTCATGGTGTCAGAGACGCTGTAGAAGGACAGAATACCTGCACTGTGATCCAGGTACACTCCTACTCTGGAGGACTGAGGACCTGAGACAGGCGTTGAAATCTTGTTGTGCCAAAATTCATAACTTCTAAGGGAACATTTTAATGCCCAGGATTTGTCATTTTGGCCAAATACACATTTATTCCCTGCTCTGCTGCTATTCTTGTATGTGACTGCTACAGAAACTCCTCCTGTCCACTCCACCTCCCAGTAGCAACGTCCAGTCAGACTCTCTCTACCCAGAACCTGATACCTTCCAGTGAATCTGTCTGGATGATCAGGATAAGACTGTTGTTGTACAGAAAATGTTACCTTTCTGTCTCCATTAGATAAAACCAGGCATGTGCTTGCTGTGTTTGGATCCAGAGTGATTTCACGGGAATTTTTTAGGAATCCAGCTCTGGTCTTTGGCTCTGGTTGTGAGAGTAAAACATCTGGTTGTGTGATTGTCAGTGAGATGTCTGTCCATGTGGCCCTCAGAATGTCCTGTAGTTTGTCTTTGACCTCTTTCATCGCTGCTGTCACGTCCTCAAAGTATCTCAGAGGACGGATGGTGATGCTGGATGAGTGTGTGGACTCACTGAGTGCTGACACTGAGGGGTAGCTGTGGAGAAACTGGTTGTGATCTTCTGTATCTGAGAGCTGTTTCAGCTCAGCGTCTTTCCTCTTCAGATCACTGATCTCCTGCTCCAGCTTCTCCTCAAGCTCTTTGACTCGACTCACTTCAGTCTCCTGCTGGGATCTGATCTGCTGCTTCACATCACAGCTTCTTTTCTGGATGAGATGGATCAGCTCACTGAACATCTTCTCACTGTCCTGCACTGTTTTATCAGCAGAGGCACTGATGTCCTCCAGCTCCTGTTGAAGCAGCTTCACATCTTTCTCTCTGTCCTGGATTCTCTGCTGGATGTTTAGTCGACTCACCTCCAGCTCTTTCTGCCTCTCAGTCCGTTCTGCTGCAGCTGAGACCGTGTCGTGGCCTTTATGTTCATCCACAGAGCAGAGATAACAGATAGACTGCTGATCAGTGAGACAGAACATCTCCATCATCTTATCATGACGAGAGCAGATGTTCTCCTGGAGGTTCTTGGAGGGCTCCACCAGCTTGTGTTTCTTTAATGGAGGTGCATCATAGTGGGGCTGAAGGTGTTTCTCACAATAAGAGGCCAGACAGACTAAACAGGACTTGATGGCTTTCAGTTTTCTTTCAGTACAGAAATCACAGGCCACATCTTCAGGTCCAGCATAGCAGGGATCATCAGCAGCAGCAACCTGGAGTCCGGTCTTCTTCAGCTCCTCCACTAAAGCTGCTAACATGGTGTTTTTCATGAGGACAGGCCTTGGTGTGAAGGTTTGCCTACACTGAGGGCAGCTGTAGATTCCTTTCTTGTCCTCTTCATCCCAGTTGATTTTAATACACTCCATGCAGTAGCTGTGTCCACAGGAAGTAGTCACTGGAACCTTCAGTAGATCCAGACAGATAGAACAAGAAAACATTTCTCGGTTTAGCTGAACTCCTTTCTGAGCCATTTTCTCTTCTGAGCAACACCGACTGACTGAGTTTCGATTCCTCAAACCTGAAACTAGTCTGATCTCTGATCTCTACATCATGTGTTCCTGCAAGCGAATGTGGCCTTTCAGCTCTTCCACTTCCCCCATGTTGGTTCCACCCATCCTCACAGTGCAGATCTAAAGGGGAGGGAACCAGGAGGAGGGAGGGTTATCAGGCTGATTCATTCAGGAAGAGGAGACGCTGTGTGTTTAACCATTTTAAAACCAGAATTCATTTTACATTTGGTTTACACTTGTTCACCTCAACTTTGAGGTTGTCGACCCCTTTTAATGTGTCACCATTCCCAATTTTTCATTGAGGTCAGTTTAATTAATTATAATTGATTATTTACTGATTTCAATAAATAAAATACTGCAGATGAACAAAGATATTATCAGAAAATCAAAGCAAACCAAACATGGTGAAGTCAAACTTTTTCTAAGAGTGTTTAAACCATTTGTGTGTCCTCTGCTTTCGCCCTAAGTAGGCTCCAGCCCCCCCGCAACCCTCGTGAGGATTAAGCGGAGTATAGATAATGGATGGATGGATGGATGGCACTTCATATTTAAAATGTAAGTTTGAGTAAAGGGTGTATTTTAATGTAGGAAGCATTTAACATTTACAGTAAAAATGCTAAGAATGAAATATTAATTTTAAAATTATTGACTGAACCCGACATTGACAGCCCATTTTTCTTTTGTTGTTGATGTGAAAATGTTTCACATCTAAAGAGACTCATTTTGGCCCATATAAGACACCATCCCTGCAATTATTGAACCATAACAGGTTTTTTACAAGCTAACAACATGATGAAAGAAGTGATCTGCCCTGATTTTCTGCATCATGAACACTGACAGAGATTTTTGATGTGATTAACTCACTGTGAGAGGAAAGGGAAAAGATACGAAGCTACATGTCTTTAGTTGTTGCAGTCAGACAGCAGATGAACAAAGTTCTTCCTCTACAGCAGAACCAACTCAGCAGATTCTCGTCAACACAGCTCTTCTCCTCAACATCAAGCTCTTTGTGCTGTTTGTGCCTCAGTCGTTTGTCTTCTGCAGATGCAAGTCACCATGTTGAGTTAAATAAGGCATAAAACTTTGTGTAATTTATGTTGTCATTTGTAAGCCCCCACTGCTGGCCTCTCGGTTACAACAGTCAGATTTTACATCGCTGCGATCCCAGTACATCTTCCGGTCGCCGTTTTCCTGCATGTGTCCTTCTTTTCAGACTTGTATTCGTTTACAGATAAATGAAAGAAACGCATGTAGCCCAAACAGAGTAAAAACACTTATATTTTATCACAAATAAACGATAATAGTGATGAATGATATCGTTGGGATCACTTTCCGGGCAATCTCAGAACAGCTTCTCTCTGCCTGGATTTATTTCTTGTATTTTCTATTCATGAATACGGAGCTTATAGCAGGTGGAGCACATGGTAGCTGCTCAGCGCCGGTGTTTACAGAATGTTGACATTGGTCAGTGTGGGCGCACACATGTGTATAGTGATTTCTGTAGTTATTAGTGTGGATGGGCCATTACAGCAAAACTGGTTAATCCCTGACTGTTGGAAGAAAAGAACGACAAAAACATCACAGCGTATGTACTGTCTGATAGGAGAAAAAATGTGGCCCAGACACGAAAGATAAGTCCAATTGAAATGTATTGGTTTGAAATTCGTAGTGGGGGGACACAAAAAAAAATTGGGTAAATCCTGTCCCTGACAGGAATCAATAGATTAAGTTTCGTGACTATTTCATGAACTGACGTAAGACTGGGTTGGATGTGAAGTGCTATGAGATGACATATGCTGTGAATTGATGTGATATAAAAGAAACTGAATTCAATTGAATTTCACATACAGTCAAGACTTTACAATGTCGGGAGAAACACGACAAATCCAACAATTCATTGATTCCCTCACAGCAAACTCTTGAGAAAAAACTCCCTATTACAGGAAACCTCTTTTTGTTCTGCTTTTCAGACTGCAAGATGTTTTTAGAGATGTGTCTGACCAGAGACCCAGCACAACGAGTCACTCTGGAGGACCATCCGGCCTGCCCTGCCTTTCCATGTCTCCATTTGATGAATGGATTTTCTTAGTATTGCGTGCATCTCACATTTTGTTTTATAACCTCAGCCTGCACTCATGTAAATTCAATTTATTTCTAAAATTAGGTGCAGGTCCACTATTATTGGATTATTGGAATGAAGTCCAGAAATTGCTGTTGAGAGTTAGTTCATTGAATTCAATGTCCCAATACAAAATATTTCAGGAATTGAACTATTACTAAAAGAAAAAAAAAAAAAACTTTAAAATTTAAAAAAATCAGACAATTAATAATACACATTTCTGTCCGGATATAGATTAAATTCCAACACTACCAGGATGTGTTCAAATATTGACTAGAAAATGCACAACATAACTCTTGTGTGCTGGTAAATAAGGATTTGATGTCATTTCAAATTAGGAATTTTACGTTTGCTCACATCTTCCATTTTATAACATAAACTCAGTTATTGCTGATGTAACCTGTTACTTAAGTTATTAAATTAGGTGCAGGTTCATCATTAAATAAAATATGTTGCATGCAGTCCAGAAGATCCAAGTTGTTGACTGGTTAGTTGATGACTGCTTTTTCTCTTTTGTGGAGAACAACTTACAGGGTGTCAGTGGCAACAATAGGAGTTGTGGAGGTGAAGCACAGACACCCAGCAACACAATGAAGTGGACTGTCATCCCCATCAATTTGAGTTCAGTTCAAACCCTGTCATGGCTGGTGCTGGAATCCAGGTGCAAACACAGAAGAGCAGCCAGAGAAAAGATACAAATACCAAGGTTTCTATAACAGAAAAGAGTAGGCGCAACGAACCGGGGAAGACAGAACAACAGGAGGCACTGAACTGGGGTTAACCAAACTTAAAATAAGAAGAGAAAGAAGCTACAAAATCCAAGAAGTACTTCAACTTACAACAGAGGCGGGATCTGAAGAAAACCAGTATGAACAACAAACGCCAGACTGACAAAATGGACTACCAATTTGGAAGAGTACAACTAAACAAGAGGAGAAAACTGAACAGAGGCAAGCGTAATCCAGTCTAAAAAGGACAAAAACTACATAAACCTACAAAAGACTAACCTGCTAACAGAACAAGAGGCTGCATCAACTAATACAATAAAGTGGGCCAAGACTAAAAAAACAAAAATATTCACGGGACTCAGGAACTGGACTAAAGAGGGAAGGTGGCATGGGGAAGGCAGGCCGGATACAGGCCGGGGCCAGCAACACATAAAGACTGACTGCAGGCAGGATCGGGGCAGAGACTATGTCCCCGGTGCAGTGTGGTCAAAAAAAAAAGAAGGTGTCCAGGACAGTCTAGGGGCAACTCAGACGTGTATCAATGTTAAAATAAAGAGTCCAAAAAACAAAAAGCACAGTCTGCTAGGGCAGCCCAGAGTCTGTTGAAAACCAATGACGAAATGGAGCCAACAACAGCCGAGACGAGGACCCTCAGAAGAAGAGCAAGTCTTTGAGATTTCCTCGTCAGCAAAGACTGGCAGAAGTAAGCAGACAGTGTGAAACACAATGAAGATCAGTTGTGTGCTGTGATTCCGTGTAGGTAAATGAAGGATCTCTAGCAGCTGTCTTACAGGAGATTCTTTCAACCTCAGGCTTTGCACTCAGGGTTAAAGTTACGAATGAAAAGTGTAATTAGTTCAACACAGTAACAGAAAAGAAAATAAGACATAGTGATACATCAAACAAACAAACCTCTTGGTGTGTTTTTAGCAGAGTGGAAATGGGATGTACTGTTGCTGTCCAACCACTGTCTGGCAGCTCAGAGCACTTTTCCCATTCGATGCTCAACGGACAGGGACGTTTTTCAACCCCAACCATCACGTACAAGGGTGCTGACATCAGCCGTGAGCTCTCTGCAGGTAAGACACAGTCACATGTTTTTTTGTTTAATCTTCTTCTGATTGAAGTAAATATGTTCCTCAGATTTATTTACTTTTGATGAATTGCCAAAACTGCTTCTCTAAACCTTTGACCCTTTCTTTCTCTCCTGCTTTTCAGACTGCAAAATGTTGTCAGAGGTTGGTTGAGGCGGCCCGCCCAGCGCTCAACCCAAACTACAAACACATTTCCATGTGTTTATCTATGTAATATGTGACGTGAATAAATAAAGCAACATCTTGATGATGGCAGAAATGCAGGTTATTTGCTGCTCAGATCAATGTAGCAATCAGACTGCAAGTATAGCTTTTAAACATAACACCAGAAAAGGTACACAAGGTATAATGTCTATAATGAAGATGTCAAAAGTTTACTTCTAAAATTCAATCTGATTTTTTTTTTTTAAGAAAACAGATGCTGAGAGAGCTGAAAAACAAAATCCATTTGAACTTACCAAACCCTGAAAGCTGTATATAAACAACAATGCATGAAGCCACCATGATGTAACTGAACCCTCTTTCCTGCTAATTATACTAATATACACGACCAGGTTAAATGTTCATTTTGTTTGATCTGAGGTCAGTGTAAGAGTTTCAGTTGAGCGTTTTTGTCAACAATTGAAAACAACAAAATATTTCTTTCTTTTAGTGATTAGTAAATATTTCATGTGGTCACCAAAGTCAAAGTTTATCTCCTGAGAGTGATGAAAGTCTGGACCAAGCGCTTTGTTACCTACATGTGTACATCTACTTGTTTACACACAAACTATCCATCTCTTAAATGTTGTTGTTGTCTGCTGGTTGAGCTACACTGACAGAAGATGTATATACAGCTCGTTTGTGTATATGCACGTCATTTGCCCCAGTCAGCCACCGTACATTAGGTCTGGGAACACCTCAGGATTCTCTGGGAGGAGTTGGAAAACTTTTAACTTGCTGCCACTACAGTCTGCCTCAGAAGAAAATGGATGAGTGTGAGTATGTTTTCCTATCATCAAATAAGTCCCTTTGTCCTTC